TCCCGAGAATGCCTTTTCTGTGTCGAAGAAGTCGCTATTGTCCCCCTACAAGATTATAGAAGATTAACCCATCACTCAAAATTCGTACAAAAGCAGCCGCTTCGGAGGCTAGAACGACTAGGCCATCCTCTCGACGTCAGCCTCGCCGTAGCTTTGCTCGTCCCGAGACGACCTACGTCACGATTGCGTTGGATGTCATGTGGTCTCCACTGGGCCTTCTCTGAGCACTTGTCAGAGTGGGCCGTTTATAACGAAAAATACAGCCACCAGCCTCAAAATACAACCGTGCAATTATCATTTACGGATATTGTAGATCATATTCAACCTATTTTTGAACACGACAGGAATATTTCAAATTTCGTTGAAGTATCCCTTTAAATCTAATTTTATACACGAGCAGAAACCGAAACTTCGGCCCCATCCGGCAACCTTGGCATCGGGTCGCCAAGAACATGGCTATCACGTGATCCTCTGTGCAACGACGGGAGGGATTGGGACAGCACACACTCTTTACAACGTTTTGGTGTCTGCAACATTCGACGACGTCTGCACAACTGCAGCATAAGTAAGCGCACGTGGTGTCCGTAGTGTGGACGAAACTCCAAGAGACAATAATCACAAACGGTGAGACAAAGACGGTGATAACGGCGAGACCACAGCAGGGCAACCGGACGGCTTTCAAGAAGCACTCTGCACAGGCGCATTACGCCAATCACATGGACACCACCACTGAGCGCTGAGAGGCAACGTTACTGATGACACCTATTACGCTTGCCCGGAGAAGTAAAAACAAGCAAAAGGGGGCAATGGTGATGACAATTAGCTCAATGTTGGCTACGCCCACGCCGTAGCCTTGACTGCACTGTTGGTTACGCCTCAATTCGCCCGCTCGTGTCAGCCGATTTCGGCAACTTGGCGAGTTGCAAAATTTGACAAACCTAAGAAATATTTAGACAGAACTATGTCGTAATATTTGACGTGTGGTCTTCCTAGGTGACACCGAATAGGACTGCATTGTTTTTTTAAAAAACAGAAATGAAGCGGAGTTGCCCTTTAATTACAGCAGAACCCCGTAATATGTTTTCCCAGACCACAGCAAAAAAAAAAAATTATCTTGAAAAGTGGCAACAGCCGGTAATGCTTTTGGGAGGGTGTCATGCCTGATCCCAAAAAAACTAAATAGAGGAAGGGTGCGTTTGTAGGGAGTGGCGAGAAAAAAATTGTCCGGTGGGTCAGTTGAACGAAGCTGGTCATGAAGAATACGTCAGACCTCTGCTCACGCGGCCAGTCCCCAAGAGGTCCAATTAAGTCTCCTGCCTCCTGACAAGTCTTGGCGCCAATCTGTCTGGGATTGCTCTGACCACATAGGGACTGTCGAATGTCTTCACATTCCACGTCCAGCGGGAACAAACCTTCCAGAGAGAACTCCAATATCACATGTGACGCTGATGAACACATTATGACCGAAAAGTCCCCACTGTAAAGCGCTTCTCCAGATGACTGCAACACTGATCGATGATCAGTGTCCTCAACAATCCAACTTGTGAGCTCTACCTAATTTCCTCCAATAGTAATTTGCGATCCTCTCTTCACTGTGCATGGTTTTGTACTCATATTTTTGTTTCCCTTCTCCTACGAACAGAAAGTTCTTCCAACAAGGCATCAGAGTTCTGCCAGCAACATTGTAACACGAACATGAGATAGGAAGCAACTCTTACGCAACTATTTATTTACTCTGGACTTCGACGGTTATGGAGCTGTCGTATTTATTCAAACGTAAGCCAACTGTTTTTTTGTTTCCCTTCTCCTATGATCAGAAAGTTCTTCCAACCAAGAATCAGTGTTCTGCCAACAACATTGTAACAGGAACATGAAATAGGAACCAACTCTTAGGCAACTATCTATTTAATCTGGACTTCGACGGTTAGGAAGCTGTCGTATTTATTCAAACGTAAGTCAACAGTTTTCTTCATCACTGTTTTTTTAAAAAAGGAATGAGCAAAATGTCCGAGCCATCTGCCTAAAGCAGATGTTCCCCCGCATCAGCCACTGTTTATATTGACTTGGAGATCGAACAAGAGAAACCAAGTCTGCCAAAACAAACACTGGTTGTGGGGAAGACGACATTGCCACTTTGCATTTTTATGCATTGTTTCTGCACTCACTGCACTTTGATTGAACTGTGGTGCGTTATATATCCGCAACCCAGCACTCAACACAAGTCTTTGAGTCGGGGATAAGCTTCCAGTGATGCGATTGGCCTAAGCTATTTTGGAGCACCTTTCGGAGCAGCCAAAACAGTTTTTTGGAGCAGCAAAAGTGGCTTTTGGAAGATATTCTTAGAAAAATAAAAATATTAGTTTTAGGTGTTGTACAAACGAAGGACACTTCGTGTTGTGTTGTGTTCTGATGAGACTTGTTGCGACGGAACTCGCTGCTTGTGGTTTAACTGCTGAGACACCCCACAAGTGTATAGTGCTGTAGGCATTGCCGAGCAATTCCGAAAAACCGCTTGCCATCATTTTACTGGTTCCCAACATGCCAGATTTTCGTCAAAAGTAAGCAAACGTGAAACAATTGATTGCAAGCATCCCGACTGGTGCCTCTGTCGTACAATCATGTTCTTATGCATATAAGGGCAACTTCGGCAGGCTTGCAGTTGCACGTGCTTCGTCGCGCGAGTGGAGGCAACGGCTGTTCGATCGAAACCGAAACCATGCCACTCCGCTCCGTCGCCAACCGATTCCCAAAATTGTACGCAAAATGTAACTGTGGAGCACACGACAAAAAACAGTCCAGCGGCGCGTGCTTGCCAGGCCGGCAAAAAAGGTACTACAAGCTTAAACACACACACAAAAAAAAAGAACCTGAGCGCATCAATGCAAGACATCGCCACCCAGCGTCGAAAAGTTCTAGGGGCGCTTTGTGCAACTGAACTTGAGACAAACAAGCGCGCTGCGCGGGTTCAGCGTGCATACATTGCCTTGTTTGTTTTAGCTCACTTCTCTTCAATAACTTTCTTTCGCGGCAGATATTTCACGTACCGGGGTCACCCTCGAAAGAAAGCCCACCGATAGAAACCTATAGGTCATCAATACTTCGATACAGCAGTCTTTGAGTTAAAGAAGGATTTTTATAGTAATGTATGATTTAAACAAGAACAGGAATGTTGATGAACATTCGGCAGTACTTAGTTTCATTTTAGAAAGCACCATATCTACGGCGACGCGGGGACGGCAACACCCGACGTCGCGCGACCACGGTGACTGGAAGGCAAGGAGCAAATATAGCTTCACACGGCCGTTGCTTTCAGGAGCGAGTGCTTCAGCTCACAAAGAAGCTCCCGCCGCGCAAAAACGTGGTTTCGTTTCACAGCGACTGGCACCCCGCACGCTAGCGTCGGAGCGTCCGGACACACCCGCGTCTGTCGTTGAAAATATTTTAAAAAAAAAGAAGCGAGACGAGACCCACGAGACGACGGGAGCGCCAAATGTGAGACGGCGGGAAAACCATGCAAGACCGGATGGACAATTGATGCAGGGTACTTTGTGTCGGGCAGCCGCTTGCGCCACATAACACACGCATGCTTAATTACGGTACTCAGTTTAGTTTCGGTTTTGAAAGGCGACCAAAATTGGTGTTTCGGCGCAGGCTTGGTGCAGGTTACCCATTATATGGCGAAATGTATCAGGATGTAGCAGGGTTACCCCCTTGGCACAGTTTGGCGCAATTGGCGCAGCAATCACATCACTGAGCTTCCATCGCTATCCCGCCAAATAAAGAACTCGGGTCAGGGTGGATAAGTGAGCCAGAGCCGGGGCAAAAGATGACAGTGCACGACACTGTGTTAGTAGTCGTGTTTCTAGCAGGGATTTCAGGCAAGGAATGCTAATGGGTAATGTGTGTGTACAAACCCCATCAGTGCAAACGTGGTTTGCATTGAAATCACAGCCCACAAAGCTGGCTTTTGTAACCCAATGCCACTCCTTTGGAGAAACTTGTAAAGGGATTGCACAACTGCATCGGGAAGTCCCGTGAACCGCCAAAGGTTACGCACTAAGTCCGAGTGCAGCTGACTCTGCAATCCGATGAAGCCAATCAAGCGGCGCCAAAAGTGTGTCGTCACGGTGCTCGTCCTCTGAGCATTTCCCACCTCCGGCTGAACGAATCACGCACAGTGAATATGCAGCAATCCTGCGCTTTTTTCTGTTTCTCTGTACTCACAACGTTCAACAGTGAGTACAGTAAAGACAAAGGCAGCTAGCCTTCATATCAAGCCACCAATTCAGCTGCTTTTGTATCTACTCGCTGTTAGCGGAGCAAAAGGAGGCAGAAAGGCGCTACCAGGCAGCCCAACAGGTCGTGTCTGTCGTTGGCCATGTCGGGTGGCAGGTTTTGAATGTAACAACCTAGAAAGCCAACGCGGCAAATAACCAATTAATACAAGCATGCCTATGGGAGTTCAACGGGATTGGCAGTCGTGAACGTAGCAGCCGGGAAAGCATACAACGAGGTTCTACTGCACATGTCGTAACGGCAGAATCATAAGCATAACAGACGAAACCACAGTACTCTAAGAAAGAGCCTTACGGTAATCATGTTCTCATTAAAACAACTACACAGTCAAACATTTAACCAGAAAACAACTCTTTACCATAGACATTCTTCATTACCGTTCACTTCCCGCAAGAATTAAGAGGGACACGAGAGCGACAAAAAAGAAACAGATGCAGAAAGCGCGCAGTTGCACCGGGGTGAGAGAGCGGCCGGCCTTCAAAAGCGTGCCAAAAGAACAGTCTCGCTCCGCGAGTCCATGAGGCATCAGCACCAGTCATGCGTGGCACTGCCAGATGTGACGAGAATGCTCGGCACCACTCCGGCCCGCGCCCGGGCAGTCTCAAGAGCCCGGGGGGGCGGCGTCCGCCAGTCAGGGTCTGTCCCGAGCGCTCGCTGCTGCAGCCAATGGATGTGTGCGTCCCGCAGCTGCCAGTGCCACTGACCTGGGATGCCCGTGTCGTGGCGCTGACTCAGTGTCTCCTGGTGGCAGACGAGGCGGCGCAGGTCGACGCCCCTGGCCTGGGACGGCTGGACCAGAAAGCGCTCGGGAATGCGTGCCACGGGGTCTGCCTCCTGGCCCCCGAAGCCCAGCGCCAGCAGAAGCTCTTCGGGGTCCTCGCGGCGTGCCTCCAGCAAAGACTCCACGCTGAAAGAGCGCCACCCACGCATTGCCAAACCCGGCACCACCACCGGGAGAAAGGGGTTATGCGTGTGGCTCAAGGTTGGCTCACAAACTTGCGTTTGGTTGTGACCGTTGTGCTCCCTCGGGGTCGCTGATGACGACAGAACCCACTGGCACCATCCGTTGGCCAACCCTGATACACTTGCCATTTGCATTTCTTTTTCTCTATTTTGCATCTTTCTTTCACCATAGGCTAGGAAAACACTTTTGATAAAGTTATAAACGACCATCTCTCATAGGCTGTAGTTCAACGCAGTTCGAGGACTAGCTAATAGATGGCGCCAGCCTGCCGGCGTGTTCTCTCGTCGTAAGCGATCACAAGAGAGCGCAAGACTACACAGTGCACTCAGTCCCAACCAAACACAAATGCCTGAAGCAGCCTTCACACGTCGCACAAAGTAGTTCTTACAAGATTTGGTTGTCAGAGGAAAAAGAGGCCGCATCTCCATGTGGTGAATGATGTTGATTGGGGCGAAGCTCTGGTGGTGCTGATGATACTGATTTTATTGTTCATAGGTAGTGCTGATGGTGCCGATTTTTTTTTTTTTTTATTGCTCATAGGTAGTGCTGAGTTCCGGGCTGCGTTTCGACTTCATTATTACTGCTTTATGGTCGGTGAAATGCAGAGCCAGTGGTTCTTCTAGCGGATCAGCTTGGATCCGCTAGAAGCCGTGGGAACGCATCTCCACCGCTTAAGTCAACGGTCCATGTCAGAAAGAGAATGTGTGGTATGGATCGGGGTTATATAATAGAACTGGACGGGGTCTGCATCAGGCCCTCCCCCTCCATCAAAGTTCTAGGCATGACCTTACAGGAAGACTGCAGCAACAACCAAATGGTACGAAAACTAGATACCACAGTGGGTCAGATCACTCACATGATAAGGCGCATCACCAACAAGAAGCACGGAATGAAAGAACAAGATACTTTACGCCTCGTGCAAGCCTTTGTCATTTCCAGAATAACTTATGCCACACCGTACGCGACGCTCAAGTCATGCGAACACAAGAAATTAGACGTGCTAATCAGGAAATCATACAAACAAGCATTAGGCCTACCGCCCAACACATCCAACGAGAAGCTGCTAGCCCTGGGACTACACAACACCTTGGACGAACTCATAGAAGCCCATCTCACGTCCCAACAACAAAGGCTTGCAATCACCCAAACCGGTCGCAAACTCCTACATCACCTTGGGTACCCGCCCCGGCAACCCGAAACCTCCACAGAAGATATCCCCAAGGAAATTAGAAGTAACATGGAAGTAGCCCCAATCCCTCGCAACATGCACCCAGAACATCATGAGGGACGGAGAACAGCCAGAGTTCGATGGCTGGAGAAAATATACGGCCAAAATGACGAAACAGTCTACACTGACGTGGCCAACTATGCTCAGGGACCCGCTATGACAGCGGTGGTCACCAACTCCTCGAAGATCCTCACAAGCCTCACACTTAGACAGGCTACTACGCTACATGCGGAAGAGGTGGCCATCGCTCTCGCTGTCGCCCAAACCCCAGCCACAACAATTATCACAGATTCACAATCTGCCTGCAGAACCTACGCGAACGGAAGAATCTCTAGAACCGCCTTGAAAATTCTACTTCAAGCACCCCCCACAAGAACCGTGACTATCGTTTGGACACCTGCGCACTCGACCCTCCGTGGAAACCTCGCTGCTCATGCGAGCGCCCGAGAACTAGCCGGCCGGGCTCCACAAGAGGACCAGAAGTGGGTCAGCCAACCACTGGTAACATTCAGAGACATCACACAACACTATAAACTTTCCCGGCTTACCTACCCGCCGAGCCACAAATCAACTACGAAAGAACAAGAAACAATGCTCAGGCAATTACAGACTAAAACCTTTCCCCACCCTACAAGACTCCACGCCATTTTCCCAAACTTACACAAACCAAACTGTCCCCATTGTAACGAACCATCCACACTCTACCACATGATCTGGGCCTGTCAACGCAATAAGGATATCACAGCAATACCCCATCCAACCAACGAGCAGTGGGAGGAAGAGCTGTGCAGCTCTGACCCGGACCAACAGCTACGGCTGATCGAGAGGGCTAGGACGGCAGTGAGGTCCATTGGAGTCCTGGACTGAGGATTCCACTCACGGCGCTCAATTTTTTTTTTTTTTTTTTTCCTTATTGAATAAAGTTTTTCCTCCTCCTCCTCCTCGGAGTTATATACACATTTGAGAATTTGGCCGCAGCGCCCTCTCGTCTATAAACGCTGAGCTAATGCATGCAAAGTCTAACGCGCTTATATACACATTTGACCGCAGCGCCCTCTCCTGTATAGACGTTGAGCGGCTAACATGCACCGTTGGAGTGAAGCATAGTGGTTAAGACGTCTGCCTTGTAAGGAAGCGGTCCTGAGTTGGAACCCCCGTGCGGGCGTACGTTTTTTTTTTAAAAGTGGGCCGATCCCGGAGGCAGTGCAATCGATGTGAGCATGGACGCTGGACAAGGCTAGACCCTAAGGAGCTTCGCCCCTAAAAATCTACGCTTTTTGCGCACTCACGTTTTGACGAAATGACAAATAGTAACTCGTGTTGAATGCATGCACAACAGTAGAACCCCCGTTGATATGTTTATTTAGGAGACTGTGAGAAATAAAACTTGCGGTCTGGGAAAACGTAACAGCCGATAACGCTTTTTGGGACCTACAGATAAGACGGAAAGCAACTCTCACGCAGTCATTTATTTCACCTGGACTTTCACAGCCACAGACTATCATTTATAATTATGGCTCGATGCATACTTGCAACCTAAATAATGTTGACCTACAAAAGAGGGAGCGATATTTTCTATTCAATCGAGCTAACCCAGACGCAGCCTTGCATAAGCCACTGCATTTAGGATGCCAGTGCAGCGCGGTGATGCTCGACGTGTGCGCCGGTAAAAAGAAGTATGAAGCCGCATAGAGCACGAGTATGAACTTTGCACTCCACGCAAAATAAAATGAAGGGAACCAGAGGAACCGAGCACAAGCGTGCACGCACGGCGGAGACACAGGTGACGTGTGACTGCGTAAGCCTGAATTCCTGCCAAGCCTGCCTAGCCCAAGGTCACGCCCTTTCCCAATGAACAGGCATTGTAGACACGATGCCTGTTCACTATGTTCACGTTCAGTGCAGAGAGGCAAAAGCGATGAGAAAAGGGGTAAATGGAGCAACAGGAACAGGATGGGCTGCAACACAGTGTCAGTTCCAGAGGAGCACAAGTCTTACGAATGATGAAATCCTCAGGGGTGGAACTCATGAAATGTATTTGGGAGCAGCCACGGGAGCAGCTGAAACCGCAGTTTTGGAGCAGGTTGGGAGCAGCTAAAACTACATTCTGGAGCAGGCTAGGAGCAGCTCAGATCAGTTTTCACTGCACTTCAGCTTGTGTCTTAGACGAGCACGGGAGCAATTTCAATCGTGCTTAGCAGCACAGGTGAACATGAGTGGTTAGGGACCTAGGTAATGGGATAACAGTGTAACAGATGCCAAAACTTGAAACTTTGTAAGCCTTAATGAGAATCAAAAAGCAAGTACCGTATGTTTCTGAAGATGGTGTCCTTGATATTTTCTGAGTGGCTTTTAGCTGCTCAAAATGCAAATCAGCACTGCTTATCGCACAACCCCCACGTGCTCGACAGAGTAAATATATGTGCGAACCACATGACGTGCGTAAGCAACGGACGTGCAGTTGCGTGGGGGAACAGGGCAAACAAATTTCGAGTTTATCCCATTGTGCAACTCAATATCGAAGCGGCAGACTACAATTAACGGAGTTATCGTATTCAAAGCGATTAGCGGGAGCAAGGTTAAAGTACGCCGAGCAGATCTACCGCTCGCGTGACAGCAGCTGGCAGGCAAGGTTCCGGATCGGACCGCGTTTCGGTTCTATCAAATCGCAATTATCTTGCGGGAATGCGGTTTCAACTTCTAACGACGAAGTACTAAAAGGAGTATTTTGCTCATTTGTTTTCAATTGGCTGACGTCCGGATCCCGGGCTGCAGAGCCTCAGGCAATCTGACGCTTAACGACTCGACCTCACCTCGGCCGACTTGCTTAACAGCTTATGGTTGAAGAATAACAGTCCAGTCGCAGGTGTAGCGATTCGAATCCGATCCCCGAGTTTTTTCGCGCGCTTCCGACTCGGGATACACAGGGAGAATAAACAGAACAAAGGATTGCAAGGCCGACCAAGCTAAACGGGCTAATTGTTGCCAATCGAGTCGATAGGAACCGAAACCAAGACAAAAAACAAATTTTTTTTTGGCGCACGTTGTGCGATTTGGTGCATAATGGCGCAAGGTATTGGCTGTGGCGCAGTTTCCGTGAAATGGCGCAGGATGGCGCAGACAAATGCGTCTGGCGCAAAATGGCGCAAATGGCGCAGCCGTTCCACCCCTGAATCCTTTATCTTGCATCTGGCAGTGAGGAAAACAATTACTGTGGCAAATCATAGCTCTCCACAAAAAATGAAGGCAGTGAGTCACAATGAAGGCAGGGCAACTCAGTAAGCACCAACTGGTTCTTTGGCACTGCCTGCTTTGAACACTCTAAGGTGGACAAAAGACAGTGTCGGTATTCGTGTTAATTTGATTTAAACTTTCAATTAGTAGTTTGAGGCATTGATGCAATCCCGGCAATCACACATACAAGTCTATGAGAAAAAAAAAAAAGATGTCAAGGAGCAATTAAAAGTTCTTAATCTGGGTCTGGTCAATTCGAAGGAATTTTTCGTGCGCTCCGGAAGTTCGGTAACTCCGGGAGCATAAAGAAAAGCCTCGCGATTACGCTGATCGAGCCTAAATCGCAACCATGCACACTTTATTCCTTCTATCTACTGTTAGTGCAGTCAGGAAAAGAGCGAACAATTGCGTTGGGCCAATACAACCTAGAAGACGAAGTCCTTCCTTCCAAAACATCACCACTAGTGGATCCAAGCTGCCTATCTTACACCCGTGTCGTCGCATGCACATCTTGCAGCGTCTCGCAACGAGTGCAAAAATAGCGGCGCAATCTCATCGAGCTTCACAGTGTTGGCCGCTCAGTGTGAGTTGGGGAACCGCTAACAGAGCAGCCTTTATCTAGGTGGTACTGGCTGGGCTAGCGGCTAAGCCACACAAGCCGGTCAAGCGAACAAACCAAGCCAAGCATGGCAGTGTTCCTACTGAGTTACGGAAACCATCAACAGCATGGCCACACAGCACGCACTGCCAACAAAATTGGGCTTGAGCAATTACCCGGCCCTGGGAGATGTTTTGTTCGCCGAATATACTGACGTCAAGACACGCCGGGGTTTGTGGTCCACTTTCGAACAATGAATTGTGCAAGCAGTTAGAGCTAGGAACCGTTGCGCCCCTCTCTGTGCCGCTTGCCGTAAAGTTCCAAGACAATGCCTGCCCCCAAGATATCACCCATCTCGGGTTTCGGGCTAAATATCTGAAATATAAAAATTACGAAATATCACCCACCTCCTCGGATTCAAGTCGGATGTCACACAACATCCGACAAGAATCACATCAACTGCGCAATTTGCTGTACCGGCGCGTCTGACAAGCGAGTTCATGGCGGGTTCCAGTGGCGTAGCCAGAAAATATTTTCGGGCGGTGTTTCAAGGTACTGGTGCAATCACACACACAATAAAACCCCCTAACTACGCGCCTGGCGGGTTCCCATGTTTTTCTCCGATCTGCGCATGCAATACCGGCTCCCGTAACACGCGAGTTGTTCCCGCATGTATGTTGCACCGTGAAATGTGAATCTGCTGCATCAGCAATCTGCAGTATCCGTTCCAGTGACAAAGTTTGTAGCAGATTCCCGCATTTTTGTCCGTGATCTGCGCATAGCGATCTCAATTCCACGCAAGTTCGTCCCGCATGTACCGTATTTACTCGCGTAATTAACCCACTCGCATAATGAACCCACACCCCCTTTTGTCCTTGAGGAAATACTTTTTTTTTTTGTGTGTGTGTGTGGGGGGAGCACCCCAATTCAAAAGTTGGTGTGTAATATCTGTTCACTTTATCTTGGTGCGATCGCCGGTGCCGTAGACGATTGCAGTAACGTAACAACACACCGTTATACATCAAGCAACGATGCCAAAAAGTCTAAGAACCATGCTAAACAGTCTGCCGTGACGCGAGCGCGATTGACGCAAGTCACAGTTTAAAAATCGCACGTTTTTGTGGCGGAGCACCATCTGTCGATTGCAACGGAAAGCTCCTTGCTCATAGCGCCATGCAAGCGCGGCGGTATGTAAAGAAAGTAAAAAACAATGTAAAATCGCCGCCATTTCATCGCTGCTTCTGTTTTTGTGTGGATTGTGTTTTGTGGAGAACTTGGACACCTGCTGCGAAAGCTACGATGGGCCGGTACGCTAGCTATACGGCCGGTTTTAAGCTCAAAGTCGTTGAGCATGCGTTGGAGCATGGGAACCGCGCGGCTGGACGGCATTTCAGTGTCGATACGGTGCGTGTACACTACTGACGAAAACAAGAGGAAGAGCTTTGCACTACAAAAAAGGATCGCCGCGCATTTCGAGGGCCAAAACAAGACAAGTTTCCCCTCGTGGAGAACGAAGTTCTGGATTATGTGAAGAGGCTCCGCAGTGAAGGCTGTGCAGTGTCCCACGAGCCGATTCAAAATGACGCAGCAAGCGACGTCAGTGCAGAGAGTGACAGTAGTTGCGAGTAGGAGCACCAACAAATGGCCGGCTAGTGACATGAATAAAAAAAATGGTTACATATATGTTGTGTATGTGCTTTTCCATTTTTAAAAGGTAAGGTTTTATTTAATAGAGAGTTTCCTATCTACATCGTGATATGAAATTTCAATTCTTATAAATCTGTCGCAACTTTTTTTTTTTTCCCCTCATCCTGCGTAATGAACCCTCCCCCCAAATTGACGTTCACTTTTTTGAAAAAAAGGTGGATTCATTATGTGAGTAAACACGGTATATTGCATCGTGAAATTCTATTCTGCTGTGTTTGCGATCTGCGTGATTTGTTACCGTGACATACAAGTTTGTAGCGGACTCCCTCGTTTTTGTCCACGATCTGCCCAAGCGATTTCGGTTCCCATGACAGACAAGTTTGTAGCGGGTTCCCGGGTGTTTATTGCACCATAAAACTTGAATCTGCTGCATCTGCAATTTGCAGTATTTGCTCCCGTGAAGATGCAAGTTCTTGGCGGGTTTCCACAGGTCTTTTGATGTGATAAGCGTGTGCTTATCGCATCATAAAACGCAAATTTGCCGTGTCCGCAATCCGCGGTATCAGTTCCCGTTTTATGTGGTTTGTAGTGGATATCCCAGTGTCTTATCGCCTTTTTTTTTTATATATAAATTTTTATTGTCGCATTTTTAAAGATAGCGCACCCCATGTTTTTCCCAATTTATCCCTTCATTTTGGGTGGGCGTTTTTACGGGATTTTACGGTATATTACAAAACTAAGCGAAAATTATGTAACACACCAACACGGCCGCAAGCCCGCTGAAACCGAAACCAACCAAATTGAAGCCACCTTATGGCGCCGCGTGTGTGAGCGCCCCCTGTCCACTGGTCAGGTAACTACTAAAATGAGAAGGTCTATACAGATAAAAAAAAAAAAGAAAAAGAGGGCGTGTCGCAATGTTAGGTAATGTTTTTAACAAAAGAAAAAAAGCCGTGCACGGTTGTAACTATGGGTCTTCTATGACGCTTGGGGTGTTTACGCCGTAAAAATTAAATCTCAAAATCCAGTTTTGTGCTCTATGTCCAGCAGCTAATGTTTTTTTCTTACACCAGAACGTTTATACATTTTAGCTTTTGTTTCGCATCAGATGCACACTCTGCACCAGGTACATACTCTCCACATAGAATATTCTTATATACAGCGTACTTTTAAAAATTTGTACAAATAAAATTACTATTCGATATTCGGTTTCTTTTTCTTAATTCGATTCAGTATTCAATAACTATTATTCAGTATTCGCACACCCCAACTTTTTATTCTACATCAACAAATGCTGACGCTCTCTTTTACTGTTCCCTCATGCATGATGGAACGCTAGAATGCCGGTCTCATGGTTGCGTCTTGCAAGCATTGCAGACGTTTTTTGACAAAGCCAGTTTAGCAAGCGTACACAGGCGATGGCCGACGCTGATGTGTAGCTTTCATGGCCGCATCCTTCGGCCATTGCAGATGACTATAGAAGGTGGTAGAAAACGAGATGATGCCGTGCGTCTGCTCGCACGACTAGCAGGCTGTGTCAGACGCCAGACTAGATGCACTGGACGTCGCGACAGGGAGACACTAGGCTTGCAAGCGTGTTCGGCTAAGCAGCCAAGCCCATCCAGTAGTAATGGGTGAGACCACTGATCTTTGGGTGGGGCTTAGAGCAGGCCGAGACATCCACCTAAATTGCATCTACCAACGTAAATATTTCGAAAACGTTAAAAACAAATTTGTGGAAATATTATTTTTAAAAAACATACTATGATTTAGGTCCGTTCATTTTTTTTTTCTTTTTCATTTTAGTGTTTTTTTGTGTTTTTTGTTTTTTTTTAACAGTCGTGATTCAGTTTCTTGGGAAACAGACTATGCGCAGTAAACATACCTCGACATGCTTGAAATGGTGGAGAAGCCAGACGTTTCCGAGTTGAAGCTGCTCTGTTTGCTTCGAAGCTCACCCAGCATGGCCTTGCCCGAGCTGGAAAAAAAAAGAGCAAGGAAAATCTCCTGAGGTCAGCTGAAGTGACTTGTAGACACAAAAGCACATCCCTCCTTCCTAGGGACTCGCAGAGGCTCACATTTTCCTAGTGGAGCCCGAAATGGCTAAGGAAGGGCCCGAAATAGCCTTCAGCCTATTTTTACAACAGGAAAGATACAGCCGACAGCCATGCAAGAGTCGTCACCAAATACACGAACAGACTCCGCACACTTTCCCCACTGCTCCAGTTATCTTTGGCACACAATGAGGCTACCTTCCCAAACACCAAACAAGCCCCCACTTACCCACCGCATCAACACTACCAAGTACAATGTTGACAGGTGCTTATGATGGGGAAGCAAAGAGTGCGGACAAATTATTCTACGGCCGCTATTAAGAGCTCCGATCCCATCCCTGCACTCCCTAGATTCTAAGTACTCTTCACCGCTCCCCTAAAACTTGGTTACAGTGCCGGCTTAAGTTCAGTCTTTTCATGGCTTCCATCATTCCTCAGAAAAGCCCAAGGCCAACGCCCTCGTGGTGTGACATGATTGAGTATCTCAGGGCGGATCTCCCAGACGAGGTACGTACCTAGGTTGCAGCAGGGAAGAACTGCCCAATGTCCTGGCTGCAATGTGAGCAAGACGCCAAGTTAGCGTGCAAACAAACGACACTTCGTCAAAGTGTCTGTCATGGGTGCATTTGCAAATTTCCCCAACGCTACTGATCAATTTGGTTGTGGCTCTGCAAGGGCCAACTAATGAGCCCTTGAGGAACCATGAGAAGGGCTGGTTACAACACAAACGTCTCTTCTGGGTGACAAAGTGAACTAAAACACCATTAGTAGCAAAAAAACAAAATTAACAAAAAGTATGAGCAAAAAAACAGTCACCAATTAATCGAAACAAAAAGGCTGGTTGCTATGACAAGGCTGAACAAAGTTTACGGGCGACACACAAAATCAGCGGTTGGGTAAACATAATTATTTATAGGCCAAAAATATCAAGATTGAATGTATAACTTTAAGTGATCATGCATATACAAGGCATGCACTTCGAAACAGGACAAAAAAGAATATAAAAAGAAAATAAAATGGCAGAAAACTTCAAAGATCACTGAGCACTGGGAAGAAAATGGTGCTCAGGGCATTTAGGAACACTTCACATTTGATAAGCCATTTGCGTGCCGCTGTTTTGAGTTACTAAACATAAACATTGAAAATAGACTTATTGCTTCGCTTGTGCAGCTATTCAAACAAGAATTTTCATCATCTCCCCAAAGAGGAAAAAACGGAAAATATGCAGATGAATGAACCGTACTGATATTAAGAAAACCGCCGAAAGACAAAATCTTTGGTCTCGCCAAATATTGTCTTTCGGCAGCTTCGTTAGCCTTTACTACATGTAAGATGCAGCTCCAGCCACTGAAGTTCCACTGTAACTTGCAAAGTATACTTATTCACCGAAATTGCAGCAAGAATTTACGGCAACCAAAGCGCTTAACTTCCCACCTTCTGCTCCGAGGGTGAGGTTGTCGTCGTCATTGCCCGGCACCTCCGGGTTGACCGGGCAGCCGCCGTCCCGGCGCATGATACTCTCCAACGGGCTGGCCCTTGGGGGAAGCAAGGGCAGGGGTCGGCATCGAACCACGCGCCGCATAAAGGCCGGCTCAATGATGGCACCACATTAGAGAAGAGGTTTGTTGAGCCGACAAGACGCCCCATAGTAAGTCTTCAGATAAACTTTAATTTATAAAGGAAATTAAAAAAGATACTCAAAAGCAGCTCAGCCAACATATTCCTTTTGTTCTTTGTAATTTTAGGGGAAACTATCATAATCGAAGGTAGAATGTCTAGTCAGATTAATTAAGGATTATATATAGCCACGGGCTTCGTATTTTCTCTCCTCTAATGCACTAAAGTTAAGAGGATGGTAATTCTGCATTGCATACACAATGATATTATAAAGTGAACAAGAGCTTTTTTTTTGTTTCACGATACATTATATCTTTTGAAGCACACTTTAAAACAAAAATTTTGAAAGTCCACTTCGTCCCGACACTGAACCTGCGGTGCACAATTATGTTTCATAACATCAATACTAAAAAAAAAATCTCTCGAAAGAAAAAAAAAATGTATTAGTTATTCTATTCCAGTCTGCGATGGTGGATGACCAGCGAAGCGGTTTAGCACACGACACAGACGTGACACAGAATTTTGAACAAAGATACGAACACATTTATTGGATCGATCGGTGGTCATCATGACAATCCGGAGGAACTAGACACGCGTGACGGGACCACCACCAGGCGGAAAGTAGACACGCACGACAGGACCGCCACCCCGGGAGAGCGGAAGGAAAGGAAACTAGACACGCAAGCGCTTGGAACGACGACGAAGAGAGGGCAATGCGAGGGTAGATATGGCCGACATGGGTCGCACAGCGGCAAATCTTTGAGAAACCTTTATCATCTGCCTGAGAGTCTACTGATCTTGAAAATGGTGCTTATTGATAACTAATCTAGTGAAAATGCATATCCAAGTGATGAGACATATAAGCTTTTGCACAGAATGAAGCGATTTTGCATCAAATTTGAGACCAGAGTTTTTGTTGACGCACACAGAACCCTAGCCATAAACAGCTTCACTGTAAAAAACATTAAGACTGCATCAGAGCAGTAATTCCCCTTAACGTTTTGTCAATTTTTGCCAAGTTTGACAGCATGTAATAGACAAAGTTAAAATAATACAACACTCAAAGTATTTTATAAATATAGTAGTCTATAGTGCTAATATTGACAACAATTTGTACAATTATAGAAACTATATGTTGCAAGTCAAAAGTGCACAAACATGGCTACTTCAACATTTTGACTTTTTATTTGTGATTTTTATCTCATAGTGTTTTTGAAATATAGCATTGGAATTTTGTTTATATATTGTTCACAAAAGTATTGTCTGTATATAATTTGTTGCTTTAGTTAAGAAACAAAAATATTTACAGTATTTCCCTACAACAAACATGTCCCAAGGTAAAACATGCAACTCCAACATGCAATTAAAAAAAAAAAAATCTTTGATCTTTTTTGCTATTTAGTTGAAGCATTTTACATTATATCATGTTTTTCCATTCAAAATTTGTTGCATTATTTTGTCTCTGTTTAAAAATATAGCACTTTGAAAAGCACACATTTGATTACTCTGACATTTTTACTTTACATTTGTGATTTATTATCTCGTACCATTTCTTTTAAGAAATGGTACGAGATAATGATTGGAACTGTCTTCCCATATTTTTCACACAAGAATCTAGCATTTGCATATAATTTGTTCTAGATTATAAAAATATATGATCCAAATATAAATATTTTTACTTAGGTAAAACATTTTACATTTTACATTAGACACTCCCTGTGACGCGACCGGTGCGACACCGCACGGCCGTTACCGAAGGTAGGCAGTGAGAAGCCCAGCGAAACAAAACGACGCCGTTGTTTTTTTAAAAGTTTAATCCAAATATAAATCAGATTTTATATATATATATATATATATAATATTAAGGCGGAATTTATACCGAAAAGTGGATTGGAGAAAAACGCATTCAAAGTGCTCAAACTTCTACCTTTTCTTTAGCAATGGTGAACTGAAAATAATTTATAAAGAAATAATTATAGACAGTAAACAAATGACTTTCTGGGAATCCTCTCTAGATGTTTGCGATGTAAATAGGGCATTTTTCAAAATAATCATTTTTTGCAGAAATTTTTGTTTTTTGTGTTTAGTGTCTCTTAAAGGGGTCATGAAACCCTTTTCCAACTTTTTCCTGTTTAGCTTTCCTCCTCAATTCATAAATCGTGCATTCTACCGAACAGTTCAAGAAGACGGAAAGAGGGGAGTCCCCCCTTGCTCGGACCCTCGTTTGTGTAGCCGGACACGGCCATCCTCCCCCTAGAAGATTAGCCCGTCGCTCAAAAATCAGACAAATGTTGCTTTTCCCACCCCGTTCACCCGGAAGCTGACAGTGCTGTGGAAGCAATGTGCCCGTTGGGCCAGCCACACTTTTGCCGTGTCATCACGCTCTCTCGCGCACCCACGCACAGAGAATGACGTCAGGTGATGAAAGGGAGGCGGCTGATTGGTCCGGCAAGCGCGTAGCTTCCACCAGAATGTCAGCTTAGAAGTGAAGAGAATAAGTAAGGTCCGGTGTCATGTGACGTACACTTGGACCCGGTGACGTGCTTTGGGGACCGCGGATGTATCACAGTGAAAAGGCAGAGAGCTTACGAAGGGAAGGAGGTACGATATAGACCGCTGTTTTCAAATTTTCGTACTGAAAGTCAACCTTTTGACTTTCTACCTTTTTTTTTTTTTTGGCCCACTGGACGATGTGCTATTAGTAAAATCCCAATATAAATTGATTTATCCCAGCCCAAAATTTGTTTCATGGGCCCTTTAACATTGCAACAAAATTCTAGCACCTATTTTATTGTCTAAATGTCAACCCCGTTCTGGCCGCACCAAAGAGACACCAATTTTTTTTATCAAAAAGACACCAAAACATTAATTAAAGGGAATACACTGAATGTCTTTACATAACTCTGACCCTAGAAGCAGCGCCGCTCTGCGGAAGTACAGTGGCAAGCTGCATGTGTGTGAGCCCTGTCAAACCGAATGTTCCTTCCCTCGTGGCCTATTCAACTCCTGCCACTTGATGACGCCAAGTGGCGGAGCTGACAACCAGACCAGACCCCAAGCAGCTTTGCCGGTGCTGGTCCATACTAAAGTCACGTCTCCCGGAATGTATCACACTCTCAGACGGTTGATCTTCGAGCACTCGGTGGGATCGGTCCTTTGGAACGAAATATATAGCCATCCATTCAAAATACAAGTGTTCAATTCTCATTAGCAAATAGAGTCGATCATGTTTAACTTATTTCTGAATGCAAGAGGTATATTTTAAGTTGCGACTCAGTATCCTTTTAATAATCTAAATGGTCTCAGTTTGATCCTTGCCTAGCGCCAACGCTTTTTTACAGCGTTGACTTCTCAAAACCAATCGGTGTTAAGCCTCGTAGCTATGCTTTTGGGCTTCAAAAAATGCCAAACACCGAGCCAGAGTGTTTCACAATAAAAGTATACTGGAAATTCTGTCAAATAGAAGAACAATGCAACAGCACTGGATTATTATATTTTTTTTTTTAACGAGCAGCAGTTTTTATTGAAATGACATGCAATGTGACACATGGTGAATGAATTGTGAATGTATAAAGGACTTATCGATCCATGCATACCTTATTTATGGGCATTGCATCATTTTCTCTGAAATGCCCCCACACACACAACCTGACCGTAAAATGCCTGCACGCCTATTAGACTATCCTATTAATATGCAGTTCCCACTCTAATATGCAGCCCCCATTCTTACGCAGCAGAGGGCACCGCTTACCCCCCCCCCCTCCACGTAGAACTATGCCATAGGTCACACGCACTACGACATCGCCAAGAGCTGCGGCCTCGCTACGGTGCAACCAACACGAAACAAGCCAGGTTGACGCAGGGTTCCCATACAAAGCTATCACTTTGAAAACAAATGGGTGCCGATCTGAGAATATAACCACAGACCCATATGAAACAAACCTTTGTTTCATCATTTGCCACCGGCTTGAGTGCTTGTGAGAGCAAAATAGCTGCCACAGCACAAGTGGGTTTGGCCTTTCCCCCGGTCAGAATAGGGTAGGGACTTACTTGTTGGCTTCATCAGCGGGAAGAGAATTCACCCACTCTTGGACCGACGTTGGAGATTTGGGTGGTGTACCGGCACCTGCAATGCAAGAGAGAACCAATCGATCGAGCACTTCTTTTAACACCAGACCTCCAGGGTCCAAGAGAAAATGAAAGCAACGTTTATACGGCAAGTTTTAGAGACAGTAGTCAAGTTCTCCATTAAGCAAGCTTTGTAGAGAACTTTAATCTGACAAATGCTTCAGAAATAAGTTCCCAGTAGCTCTGTCCACTTGTTCCTCTATAGCAGTGGTTCTCAACCATTGATATTTTGGGGCCTCTTGTAGACCTGCAAACCTCATGGCACACCCCATCCATGACGAGGGGTCACTGGGCAATTATGATGACAGGATAAATTAGTACAGTAGAATCTTGATACGATCACGGTTAATCCAAATTTCGAGATAAAAAGTGTTTTTTTTTTTTTTTAAATCTCCCACAGAAAATTCTTATTTATAATTTACTACATTTCGGGGTAATGCGAATGCTCCCTCGAGCCACAGGTGGAAGATACTACAAACAAAAGAGCCCACTTCAAAGAGGTAAAGTCCCTCTATTTTTAACATATTAAAGGGATACTACAACGAAATTTCGGCGCTCATTTTTTGGTCTATATGTGTTCAAAAAAGCACCATTAAATCGAACATACCAATATCTTGTTAAAAAAGTCACGAAAAGGAATTTTAAAACGAATTAAACGATTAGCAAAGAGCACCTGGTGGATGTCGCTAACGCCTCGCTTGTAATGCCCGTCTAGCTACCTTGGCAGCTAGTGACGGAGGTTGTCTCGCCTCCGGCCACGACGAGAGAAGGGGGGCAGGAGGAACTCCCCTCTTCCCGAGAATGCCTTTTGTGTGTCACAGAAGTCGCTATTGTCCCCCTACAATATTATAGAAGATTAACCCGTCACTCAAAATTCGTACAAAAGCAGCCGCTTCGGTGGCTGGAATGACTAGGCCATCCTCTCGGCGTCAGCCTCGCCGTAGCTTTGCTCGTCTTGAGACGACCTACGTCACGATTGCGTTGGATGTCACGTGGTCTCCGCTGGGCCTTCTCCGAGCGCTTGCCAGAGTGGGCCGTTTAAACCGAAAAATACAGCCACGAGGCTCAAAATACAGACGTGCGATTGTCATTTACGGATATTGTGGATCATATTCAACCTATTTTTGAACACGACGGGAATATTTCAAATTTCGTTGAAGTATCCCTTTAAGGGGCTTTGAGGTATCCCCACCACTCAGGAGGTTGTAAAGTTGTCTTTGCGCATGTACGCCAATGGAATAAATATGACCGTGTACCGAATGTCTTGGCATTTGAAAAAGGCGTAAACCTTCCCACAACAGAAGAGCTGAAAACTGGGCCAGTTGGTATTAATTCATCATAAAAACAGTGCATGCAAAAAACAGGGATGAAAAGATGAGAACACACACGACAAACACAGCCAGAGGCGGACTTTGCATTTTGCCACTCTACGCAACCCCGCTCCCTTTGGTCAGTGACCATGAAAAAGCTAAGTTTGGAGTTAAAATTTTCAAAAGCAGCTAGATTTGGAGCTAGAATTCGCAAAGTAGCTAAATTAAAAGCTAGATTTAAAAAAAAAAAAAAAAAGACAAACCAATTAATTTGGGGGTGGCTACAAATTGGCCGCCCACAAAATTCGGCCACCTTAGGATACTCTGCCTACTGGTCAGTCCGCCCCTGCTCACAACTGACGCAGCATTGCTCTATCCATATTGTCACGTGATATGAGCTGCCGGAATGAGTAACTCGAAATCACTAGAGAGAGATTTGGAACGCAGTGTAATCATGTGGAAGCACAACATGGCACAGCAACGACGGATACATGCAAAGTTGCAAGTGAAAATGTGCCACAGATGCCCAACGTAACAAGCAGAATTGGCTCCAATCGAGGATTACTGATCATGTCTCACAAGCGGAAGGCGCTTTTATTTGAAATTTTATTTGAAATTCTGAAAAAGGTTGACAGAGACTCGAAAAGGAAATGTGCAAGCCTAGCAAAGGAGTTAGGCCTCGCACCGTCGACCCTCTGTCAGTCAGCGTGAAGTGATCATGAAGAATGTGCAATTCTTCAGCACAGTAAAGGGAGGGGGGGATGCAATTTTGGAGGCACCAGCCCCCCCCCCCCCCCCCCTCCCTTCCCCCTTTACTGGTTGTGATCCCGGGAAGTGAAAAGAAGGGGGGAGGGGGGGGGAGAAGGGTACGAAAAACCTAAGGCCTGGCTACGCCACTGCTTCAGCATAAATATGACGCAGGCTGAGACAGCACAGCATGTGAAGCTTGAGGAAATCCTCTTGACGTGGTTTAAAAAAGTCTCGGCAGGTTGTGTCAATACTGATGCCAAGAAAGCTGACAGCATCAGGCTTTCGCTCAACATAGAAAACTTCCAAGCCTCCACGGGTTAAGCCCACCGTTTTGAAGTAAGGCATGACTTGGTGCATAAAAGCGTCTGTGGAGAAGGCAAAAAAGTGGATGCATCTGTCACTAGTGACTGAATGACCAACATGCTGCCATCGCTTATTGCAGAGTACAAAGCCCGGCATATATTCAATGCTGATGAGGCGGGCCTCTTCATTCATGTCCAACGAGACAAACGCTTTTGTTTTAAGGGCCAGACTTGCCAGGGTGGCCAGAAAGGTAAGCAGAGTCACCGTGCTCTTCCGTTGCAATGCCGACGGCTCAGAAATGATGAAGCTCACCGTCTTTGGGAGGTACAAAAAGCCCAGATGTTTCAAATCAGCAGTCGGTTTGCCCTGCATTCACACCCAAGCACGAAGGTACTTTCGTAAGAAAACATACACTGTATGATTTAAAAAAAAAAAATTGCAACAATTTTATTTTTATTTGGAATGGAGAGCGTGCTGGTAAGGATAATATAATGGGAAGAACACAAAACACAAAGGCAGACAATGCACCAAGGATGCCCAACGCAACAAGCCGAATTGGTTGCGGTCGAGGACTACTGATCATGTCTACTGCTATTATTCTTATTAAAGGGCAACTCTGTTTCATTTTTGGTTTTGGAAAAACAATGCAGTCCTCTTCAGTATCACCTAGCAAGACCACACATCAAATATTACGAAGCAGTTCTGTCTAAATGTCTCTTAAACGGTCTGGCAAACTTCGCAACTCGCCAAGTTGCCGAAATCGGCCAACTTGAGCGGGTGCAACCAACAGCGCGGTCAAGACTACAGCATGGGCGCAGCCAACATTGAGCTAAACGTCATCACCATTGCCCCCTTTTGCTGTTTTTACTTCTCCGGGCGAGCGTAGCGGATGACGTCAGCAATGTTTCCTCTCGACGCTCAGCGGCGTTCACGTGATTAGCGTAACGCACCTGCGCAGCGCACTTCTTGGGAGCCGTCCTGCCGCCTTGCAGTTACCGCTGTTTCCCGCGCTGCAACCACCGTCGTCGTTTCACCACTTGTGATTACTGTCTCTCAGAGTTTCGTCCATACTACGGACACCACGTGCGCAGACTTGTACCGCAGTTGTGCTGACGTCGTCGAATGTCGTAGACTCCAAAACGTGGTGAAGAGTGCGGTGCAGACGACACTTGCGCCTGGCACACGCCCGCCCCAGTACCACCCGTCGTTGAATAGAGGATCACGTGACATCTCGTACCACGCGATGGCCATGTTCTTGGCGGCCCACGGCCAATGTTGCCAGACGGAGCCAAAGTTTCGGTTTCGATTTCCGCTCGTGTTTAAAAATAGATTTAAAAATATATATCCATTTTTTGTGAAGCAAACGACGTAGTGTCTTTTACTAGGGCTTTTTATTTCGAAATCACTCATTATAACAAAATCTTCGTAATTGAGCAGAGTTGCCCTTTAAAGGGGCGGTGCAACAATTTGCGGACTTTGGCTAATTAATTGCGAGAATTGATCCCGGCCACATATAAAACGAAGGACCGAAAACTATTCTTTCCTGCTTGCCCTAGTTTTCATTAAAAAAAATAAAAGAAATTGGTATCTCTGGCACCCCTCAACTCAACATTGAAGCGGCACCAGCTTCGCCTGTGACGTCATTCGGAGTGGCGTTGGTTTCCGGTTGGGTTCTTCTGGCTTCCGTTTCCCCAGCGCTCGCCGGCTCGCCAGGCTCGCCGGTCTCCCGCTCTCCCGCCGATTTTCGACCAACATGGCGGCATGGGCGGACGGCCTGAGCGACGTCGAGCGCAAGATGCTTGCGACGCGGCGGGCAGTCGAAGTCGAGGTCGAGACGCCAGGAACAATAACGATACCACGATACTACGGACCACGACCAACGCACTCCGTCGAGCGAGGGAAAGACAAAACGTCCGGGTTGCTCGTGTAGCCACCGTAGGCGCCTCGGGCGTCGACGGATGACGGCGACGGCAGGTTTTGTTGACTTGCGGTAGATGGCGCCACAAATAATTCATACCCTTTTAGCGGCAATATTAGGCTTTTGAAGCGTTTCTGCATGCCTAAACAACAAGATTTTTTAAACTTAACCTTAAATCAAGCTTACAATTGCCTAACACTATCACTTACAAAAAACATTTCGAATGACGTCACACCACAGGTTCCATTTGCGGCCACCATGTGGCCGCAGGTTGGGAAAAAAAGTGTTTTTTATTTTACGATTACGCAGCGAAATAGAGGTATTTTGGGGTATGGTGGCACTTTTTCTCTTACTTATGCCAAAGTAAACAATATAAAAAATACAAGCTGCACATTCGTTCAGTGTTAAAATCATTGCACCGCCCCTTTAATATAAGGCAAATAAAAAGGCTTGGATGAAAACAGCCTTCTTCAAAACATTTCTTACCTACTTCAACCACACACAAGTTGTCATGAAAGAATAGGAAGATTGTGTTGTTTCTTGATCGGATATTTTTACACACCCGAAACAGGTGAACCTTGACAATGTTAGAGTGGTGTTTCTGCCGGCAAACACAACAAGTCACCTGCAACCGTTGGATGCTGGCAGAATTCGGACTGTGGTGCACCGTTTCAAATGGCTACCGGTACGGCATCTCCTTGCAAAAATCAACCAAAA